TGGGAAATTGGAAAATGAATTCCAACAGGAACAAAGAGAAAGAAGAAAGGGCGGGGGTTTTTTTTTTTTTGCTTTTTTGTTTTTTAAATTCGCACCGGTTTGGTTTGAACCGGTGCTATTGCTATTTTATTAAAACCTGCCTATTTTTTTCGCACCGATTTTTAAAAACCGTTGCCAATTCCTCGGTGCTAACTTATGATTTTCTGCTAGTGATAAGAAGGGTAAAACTTCTCCCTCAAGGCTTCCTTAAACTCATCCCACCCAATGTTTTGTCTTTTCAGCAACTCATCCTTTCTTTGGGCCCACCATAAGTCAGCTTCCTCCCTCAGATAGTAAACACCATTGTTCGCCCTCAGCTCGCTTAAGCAATTGATAGCATCAAACAACTTGTCAAACTCCCTAATCCAGTTTTCAAGACTGGTCGGGTCCTCTTTCCCCAAGTAAATAGGTGGTTTGGCTGAAGCAACTCTCTAAAAAACTTCGCTATAAGAGTTAAGGTTAGAGTTAAGGTTTCCTCGGTCCGGTCCGGGGAATCTTCCGGGGACCTGAATTGGGTAATTATGAGGACCGGGGACCGGACCTGAATTAACAGGTCCGGTCCGGGTTTGGACCTGAATGGACCTGTTTTGTGTCTTTTTCGTTTTTTTTTAATACAAAACCTGTTGGACCTGCATATGGACCTGCATATGGACCTGTTTTGTGATTTTTAGATCTGTTGCATAATTTAATAATTACATACAAACCAAAATTATCAATTACAAAACTACATAAAGTCCATAAAGTCCCGATTCTCAAACACCAAAAATACAAATGAGTCCACCGAAAATACAAATAAGTCCACGAAAACTCATAAAATTACATAAATTCTCTTAAGTCTCAACTCTCAAGTACTAGGAATACATAAATTCTCCAACAAGTTGTTTTCCCTTTGATCGCGTGATTCACACTAATGAGTCCACGAAAACAACTTCATCGTCTATATCGTTAGATTCACCACGTTGCACCTCTAAATAAAATACAATATAGAATATATTAATGATTGATAACAATGAAATAATAAATTTGGTGTAACAAAATTTCAAATACATAAAATTATTACTACCTTTCTCTATTTCTTCTAACTCTTTCAAATTTTCTTCCACATCAACAATTGGCACTTCCTTAGCTCTAAGCCAATCTTGTGTGCAAAGTAACGCTTGAACCATCTTCAATACAAAAATATTACACAAATATGTATAAACAAAGTCATATTAAGATATAAACAAACTTGATTTTATAAAATAAAAAGATAACGATGCATTACCTTAGGAGTTAAAGAACTCCGAAATGGATCTAGAGTACGACCTCCCGTACTAAAAGCAGATTCCGATGCAACGGTCGACAATGGGATGGCTAGTATGTCACGTGCCATGCGATTAAGAATCACATAACGCTGGCCATTCTTACCCCACCATGTCAATGCATCTTGTTCTTCCTCCTCCGGCCCTAATTGATCATTTAAGTACCTATCCAACTCACTTATCGCATACCCACTTGTCCTCTTCAATCGTTTTGCTCTTTCTTTTAGTTTCCTCACATAATCGGAACCCACTCCTTTACTATTATCAATATCCATTGACATATTATCTCCACAATCTGGAATATTAGAAGTTGCATACATTTTTCTATATTCCTCAAATAAAGAGTAAGCGAACTCCTTCACATCATTAGCAAGTTTTGTACCCTTTTCCGGTCCATGCATAGAAGCAATTTCTCCTAAACCTTTATTAGCTGTCACATAATGGGAACCAGAAATTCGTTTAGTTAACAGATAAAACCCCTCTAGAAACAAAACCAACCTCTCCACTTTTTCCCAATCTTCGGGTTCGGGAGGCCTTTCATTGTCATTCAAATCCTCTCCATCAGGAAGAGATAACCCACTAAAAACACGTCGAAACTTCAAAGCCGTTTCCAACATTATGTATGTGGAGTTCCAACGAGTGGGGACATCAAAGGATAAAGAAGATTTTGAATCTATGTTTGCTTTTTGCACAAGATCTTTGAATCTAAGTATTCTTGCAGGGGAATTCTTAACATATTTCACAGCATTTCTAACTCTATCAATGCACACACCATGTTCTCTAATACCATCCCACACAATTAAATTAATGATATGAGCAATGCATCTAACATGAAGATTTTTTCCATCATTTATACATCCTGTTCTTCTAACCATTCTACTCAAGTGTGCACAAGCAACATCATTTGAAGAAGCATTATCAACAGTGACAGTAAAAAGTTTATCATCAATACCCCAATACTCTAAACATGCCTCAACTGCTTTTCCAATAGCCTCTCCTTTATGACTAGAAATTGGACAAAAATTTATGATCTTTTTATTCAATTTCCAGTCATTATCAATGAAATGAGCTGTAAGACACATATAATTAATTCTTTGTATTGAAGTCCAAGTATCAGTGGTCACGGAAATTCTTTGACATGTCTTAAACATTTCTCTCAATTTCTCTTTTTCACTATAATACAACTTTAAACAATCACGAGCAATGGTAACACGAGATGGAATGTGAAATTGTGGACATGCAACTTGCACAAAGTGCCTAAAACCGGGTTTTTCTACATGCTTAAATGGTAACTCATCAACAATAATCATGTGATTCAATGCCTCTCTAACATCATTCAAGTTAATAATCCTACTCCCACACTTTAATTCACTACTCTCATGTTCTTGATCAAAATACAATTTAGTTTGCTTTTCTTTGCCCTTTTCTTTTTCTATATTAATAGGATTACCGAGATATGATTCTGCATGGTTTTTAACATTTTTTGAACCATTAAGATTACCATCAGCAGCAAAAGTTTTAGGACAGAACTTACATTAGCTCGTAGTTTTCCATTCTCGACGTACTCTAAGTAATATTTCCAATACTCAGCTTTCCTCTTACTTTTTCTGTTCCATATATATTCCCGCCCCGCTTTTAGCTTCTTATCAGGAGGCAAAGTAGATTGCAATTCTTCCATATCCTTTTCAGAAAGTGGTTGTGACGTTTGTTCAGAAAAAGAAGCAGACCGTTTGGATTGAGAGCTCTCCATCTACAATATAATTATATACAATATAAGTAATTTTAAAGTAACAATTATATACACATACCATTTTATAAAAAAATTTAAGAGCAACTTACATTGCAAGAATAAGAATCCGTGGTTCCTTGACTTCCTTCACTCCCTGCAAGAATAAAAACAAAAATAAGAACCCCTGAACTACACACAGGTTAGCCAACTTATTTAATCTTAATAATCTGAGTCCATACTTTTAGCAGCCTAGCAGGAATAAACACAAATTTTAAAGTATAAGTTAGCTTAAAAAGTGTCCATATATACACATTAGAAATATCAATACACATTAGAAATACTTTCAACTTTCTGAAATTTATGTTAAGAAAAAAATGAGAGAACATTATAAACCTTTAACTTCCATTTAAAAGGTTTCAAAAAAAAAAAAAAAAAAAAAAAAAAAAAACTACAGTGAAGAGGGTTTAAGTATTTCATACAAGTTTTTCAAATGTAAATAGAGTTTCTTGTCCAATTCTCCTTGAATTCATACCTTATAAATTAGTTTAAATTATTTGAACTAATAATGTTTATTATGATCTATTGGAACAGGATAAGGAGAATCCATCAGGAAATTTCAAGGAGATGTATAGACATATTTGTAAAGGTGCATGGACTTTCTCAACACTAGATCACGGTTGGCAAGTCTCTGATTGTACTGCAGAGGGGCTCAAGGTAATTGAATACACATTTTCTATCATAAACAATACTCATCTAGCCATTTCTTAACCCTCGAGTTTTCATCTTTAGATGAGAACACCTAACAACGTAGCAAAATTAAAACAGCCCCATCCCTAACCCTTACCCTACCCAGATCCACCACTGCCCACACAATACAACACAACCAGCTTCATTGGCAGCCCCACCCCTAGCCGCCTTCCCTGACACTCCAACCATGGAATCCACCCCACAAATTCCATTCCCGCCGGAATAACCTCACTCAACCACTCCAAAACCCCCTCCAATCCAAAACACCACCCAGCCACCCCGAAAACCCATCTCCACTCTCGATGACCCTACCAGCCACCACGAAAACCCCATCTCCACTCCCGACAACCCCATCAACATTCACAATTTTCCATCCAGCCATCCCAAAAACCCCAGCTCACCACCCCAACCCACCCCACTGCCACCCCTTAACCCTTAACCCCCACACACCAGAACCGTACCACCGTAACCCCACCATAACCCCATCCCAACCCACCCTACCACACAAATTTTCGCACTAAATTAATCTTAATAATCATAATAAACACAAAATTTCGAACTAAATTTCGCACTTGAACCCTAAACCCTAAACTTCTTAATTCTTATGAACCCTAAACTCAAAAAAACCAAAAAAAAAAAACAGAAATTCGAAAGAGATGAACTAAAAATAAGAAATTCAACATGCAAACATCAAACAATCATTAAAAGCAATTGAAAATTTGAAACAAGAATAAACATATAAATTCTCACACTTAATTTATTATTTCGAATTAAAAATACCAAAATTATAAGCAAATACTTACCAGATATTATCGGTGTGCATCGCCTGAGAGAATGAGGGAGGTGTCGGCAGTGGGCGGTGGCCGGAGCGAGTTGGGACAGCCGGACAGCCGCGTTGAGAAGTTGAGATTGAGGGAGGCTGAGAGAATCAGTTTGGGCTTAGGGAGTTAGGGTTAGAACTTAAAAATATGAAAGAGATTGAGGGAGGCTGAGAGAATCAGATATTTTCTTGTTTTTTTTTTTTTTTTTTTTTTTTTTTTTTTTTTTTTTTTTTAATTACGATTTTCCCGGGTTTCAGGTCCGCACCTGAAAACCCCGGGTTTGACCGGGTCCGGACCGGGACCGGGAACCTGGATTTTTAAGAACCGGGACCGGACCTGAATCAACAGGTCCGGGTCAGGTCCGGTCCGGTTCAGGTCGGTTCAGGTCCGGTTTCAGGTCCGGGCCAATTTTTGTACACCCCTTATAGTTTTACTGTATACATTAAATACAAATTTTTAAAAATTACATGGCTACCAATCTACACAACAACAACAACAAAAAAAAAAAAAAAAAAAAAAAAAAAAAAAAAACAGCAATATCGCCCCGGAGCAACAACATTTATGAGAAGCAACGACTCAAATCGACTACATTAGCCATGGATTTTCCTGCTAAACATAAAAGTACAATAAACAAAAATTGATTAGAAATTCCTTTAAACATAAGTAAAATTGAACAAAAAAAGTACCAAAATCTGACGAGAATGAACTTGAGTGCTCAAGGTTCAAGTTTTAATGAGAGAAATACACACTGAATTTTACTATGAAATCCAACAGCACAACATGTGGATTAAAAGAGCAAATATTTCTTCAAACAATAAAAAATCCAAGGTCAACAGCTACATATCTTAGAATGTAAGATTAAAAGGCCAAATGCAAGTGACATGGATTTTGTTGAGAACAAGTTTAGATCAAAGAATACATCAGTCCTAAGAAACTGTTGGAACAGGAAAGTATGTCTCTCAGACAAAGTTGAGCTCAATAACAATGATACACCTTGAGATTTTATCATATTAGAAAGATTAATGCAAACACAATTACACCGTCTATTCCACGCCTAAACTATTATACATGATCAGGGTAATTGCCAAAAAACTAGTCAACTAAACATGGTGCTCATATACGCGACATCAATAAAACCTTGATCCAACTCCAACTAAAGTTCACTTAATAAAAGTATGTAAAAAGACGACATTTCTTTCACTAAGCAAAAATTGTTTAAATTTCTTCTATTAGAGAATGCATAAATATCATACAAGGCCGATATCAAAATAAGATACTAAACTCACTGTTTCTCAACCAGAAAAGCACAACCCTCTGACTGATGACTAGTAGAAGATCCAACTAAAGTATATATTGGTATAATGCAAAAGAATCCAAATGACTAGCCTTCTCCTAAAAGTATCAAATAGCATATGCTTGGAAGGATGAAGAAATGTAATCTCATTTTGTATGTGTGTCATGATGATTCCATTTAGAAAAACAAGTACAGTTAAAATGTAAACCACATTCTCAAGCACACTTCTACTCTGATCATAATAGGAAAAGCCACATTGGATACTGTTACTGTTAATTCTTGATGCCTGGAATTTGAAGTAAGAGACCTATTATTAATAACAAGGCAAGAAATAATGAGAACAAAAAGAGAAAAAGAAATGAAAATACTTACAACAGCAGAGTCAGAATTAATAAAATGACCATTGTCAGAAACATAACCCCTAGGGGAACCGCCTTCTTCAAAGCCTTCAGGAACTAGCGAAGGCGGTTGGCGTGGGGAATTGTAGAGCACTCTGCATAATAAGAAAAGGAACCCTAGCTTATATCAGAAGAAGAATCAAATAACCAGATCTGTAAAATTAAGAAAGAATGAATTGTAAAACTGAAATAATAATATTGATTTTGATCATTGAGCAAAGAACTTGTTGTCTTGGGGAGCGTTGAAGCTAAATTCATACCCAACAAACTGATACATCAGCAAAATCAGAAACTTAAGTTAATAGCAATAATAACACCAAAAAAAAAAAAAAATAAATAAATAAATAAATCAGAAAATTTAAGGACAGAGTCAATTAATTTTGTAATTATTGCATTACTTGAGTTCGTGGCAATTTTACACATGAATGCTAGATTCTGACCTTGATATTCTCCGCTAGTTTATCCACTGCATTCTCACCAAGGAAAAATGGCTGTTATGTGACAAGGAAATAGAAAATAAGGATAAACAAGAAGAGGATCATGGAAGCAAGAAGCAGCAAGTATACACTTCATAATCTACCAAAAGACCAACCTGCCCACAAAGAAGTTCTGCAAGAATACAACCAGCACACCAGATTTCAATTGATGATGCACATTCTGTAGCCCCGAATATCAGTTCTGGTGCTCGGTAAGTTGAGCAATAGGAGATGCACAACATATGTGATATGTCAATGTCAGCATGTCATTCAAGCATCTGTGCTTGCATATGGGTTCTTCACTGGCTGACCCCGGCAAAAAACTCATCATACCTAGATCAATCTCTAGCTAGCTACAAATTTCAAATAATTGGCAAACAAATACAAGATCACCTTTATAGCCATCATATTATATACTCCAAGAGCACAGTGTGACTCGTGACAAACCTAGGAGTCTAAGCATTGGGCAAAGTTACTGGAATGTATCTTTTAAGTGATTTGAGGACAAAAATATCATTTAACATCCGGAAACAACTTATTTCAACTTGCTCATAAAAGAAAAACAGATGCAATAGAACAAATGAAACTAGATTCCTAAAGAGGAGAAAAAAAAGGTCATTTTTATACCTGATATGTGTATAATTTAACAATAATGCAAATTTAAATTATAGCAAACCCTAAAAAGTTGGAATTGATAGTCGATGATGAACAAAAAAACAAAATAGCAATTTACTTGAGAAGCAAATACAATGGACAACACAAAGCTCGGAAGCTGCTTCAATGGAGAGGAGATGGAGAAAGAGTGCGGTGCAGTGAAAATTGAGCAAAATGGGCACATCATTCTAAACACTAATTAAATCCTACTGCCACAATGAATTAAAAATCGAAACAAATCGTTTATAGTGAAATTAAAAACTTAAACAAATCAATTACAAATCATTACCTAAAATTAAAAATTATGAAAATAAAATTAAAAGCAAACCCTAGATTGTGAATTGATAGTCGATGATGATTTAAGAGAGAGAAAAAAAAAACAACAATGTACCTGAGAATAAAGCTGATTCAATGGAGAACAAAAGGCTCAGAAGTCGTTTTAAGGGAGAATTTAATGTACGGCTTCAATGGAGAATTATGAATACGGCTTCAATGGAGAATTCAAAGTACGACTTCAAGAAAGGAGAGGATTCAGAATATTGCTCCATCGGATAGGAGAGGAAAGGATTCATAGTGAGGCTTCAATGGAAGGCGGGTTCTCGAGGATGGAGAAGGCAGGTTGCAAAAATGGGGGAGGTTGGAGCGAAAATGGAGAAGCTGCAAGGCATTCCTTTATGTTTTTTTAATCCAACGAGAGAGATGGTCAATAATATAGAATTTCCAATCGACTTGTTTTAGTAGCGGGCCTCTCAATGTCTGTTGCGAATAAATGTTCTATTATTAATTAAATTGTTATTAGCAACGGGCCTATCTATGTCAGTTGTAAATGGAATAATATTTGCAGCTGGCATTTATTAGGCTAGTTGCTAATATAAAATTTTACTTTTACACACCAATTATTAGCAACGCATATAAATATGGCAGTAGCTAATAACATATTATTTGCAACTAATATTATTTTGGCCAGTTGTAATTAGTGTTTTAGTAACTAACATATTTAACGCCAGTTGCTAATAAGGTGCCGCTAATAGCATTTTTTCCATTAGTGAACCACTCGTAGGTCTGCTTTGTTCAATGATTGGGTGAATGAGTTGAATTTAATTGAAGTTGAATTTTCTGGCGCGGCTAATACATGGGCAAGGGCCGGATTCCAGAAACTCGTCTTGATCGAACTCTCTGTAATGCTTCGGTGGGCAGTAAGATTTGAAAAGGCATCAATGAAACATCTTACTGCAATTCATTCTGATCACTGTCCAATCTTTATATCTCCAAACGATTTTGCTCCGCTACACTCTATTCATCGCCCTTTTCGCTTTCAGGCTGCTTGGATGTCACATGAGAACTTTCTTGACTTTGTTAATAAGTCTTGGGATAAAAATATTTCTCTCATGCCTGCTCTCTCAAACCTTTCTAGTAAACTTCAAAACTAGAATCGTGATACTTTTGGTAACATTTATAAACATAAAAGGGTGTTATTGGCTAGAATAGGTGGAATACAGAAAATTCTAGCTACTCGTATGGACTGTGGCTTGATCAAACTTGAATCAAAGTTAAGAAGAGGTCTTGATAAGATACTTGAGAGGATGGAAACAATGTAGTATCAAAAATCCCGGACTGAGTGGTTAAAAAATAGGAATGGAAACACTACATTCTTTCATCTAAGTACTATTGTGAGACGTTGGAAAAATAAAGAAGCGGCCTTGAAAGACAATGAAGGGCAGCATGAAATATCCGAAATTAAGGATCATATAGAGGACTATTTTACCACTCTTTTCACGGAAGAAGGTGAGCCTGATAGTTTTGATGTCCCATATGATATATTCCCAAAATTATCTTCGAGGGATTGGACCTCGTTGACAAAGTATTACTCAAAATTAGTGATCGATCTTGTGGTTAAAGTGATGGCAGCCCTCAAAGCTGCCGGACCAAATGGGTTTCAAGCACTTTTCTACAAGAAAAATTGGGAGCTCATTGTAGACACTGTCTATGATACAATTCTTCCTGTTTTGGAAGGAAAAGGTTTTCCTAGTAACCTTAATGACACCTTTATTGCTTTAATACCGAAGGTGGATCACCCTGAGTTAGCTTCCGAATTTCGCCTGATTGATTTATGTAATGTTGCTTATAAAATCATAACCAAGGTGATAATCAATCGGTTAAAGCCCGTACTTCCTGTTTTGATCTCTAATACTCAAGCAAGTTTCGTTCTGGGGCGGCAAATCACAGATAAAATTGTTATAATGCAAGAGGTTATTCACACAATGCGCCAGAAACAAGGAGTTAAAATATATATAGCTATCAAAATTGATTTTGAGAAGGCATACGATAGACTCAAATGGTCTTTCTGAAAGGAATGGTGTCCTTCCAACAAGTGTATCATTCTGATAGAGGGTTTAGAATTATTACAGAGCTAATTCTTTAGTAAGGTCAAGTGATCGGAATGCCTAGGTGGAGGCCGCTTCCGATCATTAATATTAAGGTATAATTAATATTACAACTTAATCTTAACTGAACCATTCGGGTCGAACCCAATCGAACAACCGATCCGAGACGACGAATTAATCCGAAGGATTTAATGAGTCGACGGAGTTTTACGAATACAGACGTCGGATATCAAGCCTAGGGCGTCGAAACCGAGCGTCGCAAAATCACAAGCGACAAGTACGAGCATAGCCGTAGCTAGGCTAGGCTAGCTCATCGCAAGCTTAGGCGCACCATGTGTGTACTAGGCGCACCATGGTGTGCTAGGCGAGGCATGAGTGCCTAGGCGCCATCGCAGCCCCAGCACCACGCACAACACCATCGCAGTGCTAGGCACGTACGTGTGTGCGTGTGCGCGTGCACCATCGCCCAGCATGCGTGGCTCGCTAGCAGCACGCATGCTAGGCCTTGCTTGCGTGAGGGGCTGGCTGGCATGGTTGTGCGTAGCATGCGAGTATTTGTGAGGCAATGCGTGGGAGTGATAGGGCCAGCATCAGCATAACGTGCTAGCAGTGCCTAGCACTAGCACGCACCAGCGCCTAACACTAGCACGCACCAGTGCCAAGCATCGCCCAGCAGCAGCACGCACTGCCTGGCTGGGGATGTAAGGCTGCTGGCTGGTGCTAGCTTGCAGCGCTAGCTGGCAGCCAGCACAGCCCTCCTTGAAACCGGTTTGTGTGTGGTTGTGAGGACCAAGCAAAGCCTTGGGGAGCAAGGCTATGGTCCCCCCTACCTAACCTTGGGCGTCACTCATTAGCATGTAATTGTGCCACTTGTCGCGTTGTGATTGATTTAAATATTTATTTAATTTGGAATTAAATAAATTGTTGAATTTACCAACTCTCCCACATTGGTGGGACATTGGAAATCAAGGGTCCATTTCCCTATAAATACCATAGGCATGGGTATTAGGAATAAACATCCTTGAGTGGAATTAAAAGGCAACTCTTGATTTGAGTAAACCTTGATTCTTAAAACTCATAGTTTTATTTGTCCGGGTCTCGACTAACCTTTGAGACTTAGGACGCTCAGGTCGGGTTCGAGGGTACGATCCCGTTGGAGACCTCGTGTTTTCGGGGTTCAAGTAAGAGCTCATAGTTGAGCGAAGCACGCGTCAAAGGTATAATCTTTTATCCTTAATTATGTTTTAATTATGTTTTGCTTGTTAATTGCATTTATTATGGGGGCGGGTCTTGGCAGATTTCTTTCCGTCCAGTGACGGTCACTACGAAACCCAACAGCGGTGTCGGAGTCACGCTCCTTTTAAGTTTTGCAATTATTGATTAATTAAGGTGTTTAAAAGTAAGATTTAAATTCTGGTTTTGCTTTTCTAATTAGATTAGAAACTCGTTTTAATTAATTTTAAAACTCGTATTTTTTATCGATTTGGCTGTCGAACCCTGATTTTGGCTCAAAATAGTGATTTTTGGGTGGAATAGACATTCTGAAACAGATTCAACCCACTTCGAGAGCTGTCCAGAAGCCAAATTCGAACCAGAAACCCAAGTTTTTGGGGTTTTTTTCGTTTTTCAACGAAAATTTTAAATCTTTTTAAGCCTTGATTAATGCAAGCATTACAAGGTTAGATTAAATGCATTATTGCTCCCTAATCTACTGCTATTTTAATTATCCTTAAGCATAATTATGGAGTTTTAATTAGTGCTTGAGTTGATATGCTATTTTTCGCTCAAACTTGTTTTTTCACAATTATGCAAATAAATTGCATCAATGTGTGAATGTTTGATGTGAATGTGTAATTTTAAGTTCCCAAGTATGTTAAAGTTCTAATCTTTAAAGGTTTAAATGATTGGAACTCTAACCCTAAATTCCATATTGAACTAAGTTTGGATTTTTCATTTTTGGTTGATTAAAATCCATGAAGTTCAAATACTTGTGAGTAAAATTTTGATTAATCTTCATATTGGAAGATGTAATCTTGGTATTTTACACAAGTATGAAAGTTGGAATTTTTTTTTTTTATCATTAGATGGTTAATTTATTTTTCCAACTCCCATTTGTGAAATCCATTATTAATTTGCATATTGGCTAAATTAATTATGGACAAGCTATTTCAATTTTAAGCATAAAGGAAGACCTAAATTATTTCAAAAATGAATTTTTGGATAATTTAGGCTTGTGCATCGTTAAAATTGAATTTAATTAAGTTGGACTTATTTTATTTTCATTTTTGCCCTTAAATTAATTCTAAAATAAATTTAGATTAATTTTATGTCACACGTAAATCGGGATTAAAATCCCGAGAAATGGCACGCAAATCAAGGCAAAAACACCCAAGCGCCACCAAGGCTAGCCGGGCTGCCTAGCAGCCCACATGTGGCTACCTATGGTGCGCACAGGGGTGTGCCTTGAGGGGCTGTTGTGTGGCAGTGGGACATGCGTGCTGCCGTAGTGCTAGGTGCATGGCAGGGCTGCTGGAGTTGCTTGTGTGTGCTGCTGGGCAGCGAAGCAGCAAGCCCCAGCCAGCCTGCCACACGCTACCATGCACCAGCTAGCAAGCTAGCATGCGCAACATGCGTAGCAAAGCTGCTAGTGCTGGCTGGCGCAGCATGCTACGCTGGGTGGATGCTGGCACACAGCACAGCAAGCGCAGCACATGGGCTGCCTAGCAGCCATGGTGCGCACCCACCAAACAATTGTGTGGGCTAGTTTGCTTGATTTTGAGCTATGTAATTTTTGCAAAAATTTTGCCGTTTTAATTAACTTGTGTAATTATTTTTACGAGGTTAAACCTCGATTTTTCCGGCTTTTGCAAAATTTTGATTTTGACAAAATTATGGGTTGTGCCGACTTAATTAATCGGATTAATTAAGTATGGATGCGGAATT